AATAGATCAAAGCAACAAACCTTGGAATAACTTTTGATCGAATGCTTTCCTCAAAAGAAATAACATGTATCCAATATCTCTCGCCATTCCTTTTCCACCATAGAAAATCTCAATTATTTCCGTCCCCTATTTTTTCATTTGAAACCCGTAGTCTCCTAGTAATTTTCTTAATATTTTTCCTCTTTGGATATTGCTGTACGTCACTGTTTCCCGTTTTTATGAAAAGTTGAAGTGACTTTACTATTCCTACCTTATTTTAAAGCAACTTTTTTCATCATGACTATTTTGTATGTATTTCTGAGGCTCCATACCCCGAAATTCTGATTTTCTGTATTAATATTTTAAACGAACTTGTCCCATAATAAATTAAGTATTTGCATATAAAATCCTAACAAGACATAAGATCCTACGTTTTACAACATCATATAACAAATCTAAATGATTAACGCGAACTTTGAAAAATTCGTTTCAACCATTACCAATGTATTTCTGGAACATTAGTTACATGTTTCAAAATAAAGCTGGCTATCCTATTAACCTCAACAATGCCGAAATTCCTCAAAAAGATGCTTCAAAAAGTACAACATCTTAGATAAAAATTTGAAAGCAGAATACCGCTGTTCACGCCTCTCTCACGATTATCAATGCCTTAATACTGTTATTCTTCTCGACAGCAAACTCACTGTTTTTCAATATTTTTGACAGATATCTATGAAAAAATAAAGTTGAAAAAAATTATTCAGCAAAAGAAAAGTGATAGATAATTAATTTTATATCTAAATATCTTGTAAATAGTGCAAGAAGAAGGCTTATTTGACTTTAAATGGGTTTAATTTTTTTTTTTATGAAAGAAATTTTAAATAGCTTCAACCGCCGAAAATGCCTCTTTTGTAGAAATTTATTTTTACATGGTAAATTTATTTTTCATGAAAATACTCAAAATTATGACTTGATAATCCGCATTAACTAGATAGTTTGGTTTATCGATTTACAACTATTGTGTCAAGGACCAAATAAACAATTCCTTATCTTTAATATTCCATATGTTGTTGATTAAGCCCTAAATAGATAAAACTCCTTTTATTTTTAATAACCCTAATCTCTCTGTAGATTAATTAAAGATAAACATAACAATTAGTAGATAGTAGTGCGTGTTGAAATTATTGCATGTCAGAGATAAGTAAGGACTGAGTCCATCAACACTTTTTCTCAGACTTGATTAAGCTTAAGTGGTCACGGAACATGCTTCATTCGCCACTTGCTTTATCTCATTTAAGTTATCTGATATATATTTCTGGCATAAAAATTTGTTAAACCATACTTACATTATAGAGATAACTTATAATAATGTTTAAATTAGCACATATTTCAATTTAAGAACCTAAGCACCTCATAAATATACATCGCATGAAAAATTTTACGTTTAGGAACATTGTTGGAGGATATAGACATATCGCAAACATCGAACAGAAAGTTGGGCCGATTAACAATAGTAACAAAAGTGAAATATGGTTTTACATTTTCTTCGGACACGATTGTCAGAAATGGAAATAGAACACATTGTTAAAAAGATTTGTCCCCATACTCCCAGTTTTTCACGTTAGTTCACTTATTAGGTCACTGACAGGTTTACTTTCCAGTAAATATTAACTAATTTTTTAGTTGGTTATAATACAAAGATAAGAGCGTGAAAAAAAAATTCATAAGAGGAGATTCTTTATAGAAAATGGTACCCAACCTGGCTCGATAACGGTAGCTATGTATTAAACATAGTAAGTAATCTTTTAAACTAAATACGAGCTGCGGAAGCAAAGTTGAAAGTTGAAGGAAGACGACTGCCGACTTCACAAAGACACCGTGTACACGTTACCTGATATCTTTACGTATATACCAGCACTGGGAATATTTGTTCAAGCTAGTAAACATGTATCCCTTTAGAGCGTGGTTAGTTTGGTCAGTGGTCTATGGATGACTTTTCCATCAAATTTTTCAGACATTCGCATTGTATTATCTTTTGTTTACCTTTTAGTGATAATGAGGCTAATATGAAACAATAAATCTTCTTACCATTGCTTTTCTTTATTACAAAATCATATTTCCAAATTGAGAAGTACACAACAACATATTCCAAGTAGTAGCATTGAAAATAGCAGTAAAACACAATGAATATAATATATAATACAACGCCTCGCTGGTTAACATAAAACTACAACTGGTGTGAGATTATTAATGGACCTGCTACAAAATAATATTAGAAATACTGTTACATAATAGTAATAATAATGATAATAAATAAAGCAACTAACAAACTAAGAAAGAAACCACATACTTACTGAAATCCATATGCTACTCACCAGACAAAACGACACACTTACAAAATCTGAAATATTTCAATCAACAATACGTACGTGACTAACAAAACCCTAACTACGATCTCCACTTCTCAACTGTATTTCAACACATAACGACTACTTCACAACAATTTTATATTAATTTACACGGATAAACCAAAAACTGGTAAGGAACATGGCTACAGAACCCCTGAATAAGAGAAAAATATTAAAAAGGTATTAAATGAGAGATCTTCTTCTTTGACAAATTAAAGTAAATACCTGTATTATGTGTGGAAAAGGAGCTACTGTGTACTATCTTTCCGTATGTCCGATAGTTCATTATTTCTATCTTCACTAGCCTATTTGGTGGTTACTAAAAATTAAGCGATAAGCATAAATTGATGTATGATAGAAAAAAAAATCGACATTAACGAATATTTCTTCTTTAAATAAATAGTGAATAATAATAATAAGAGAAAGAGCATTATAAATCCTAGTAGAATCAAATAATAATAATAAAAACACTGTTGTATACTTATTATATTATTATTACTATTAATTTTTTTTTATAATTTATAAGAAATTATGGGAAGCTAGTCGACATATTATTCTGCATATCGAAGACTTACATCTGATATGTTATTCCACCGAAATAAATTTACACAAGGACATAGTAAAAAAACCAATCACAGATAAATGATATGTTTTTACTTGAAATTAAAAAAAAAAAACAACACCAGAATTGTGGTTATAGGAAGCATAAAAGGGCGAAGGGTGTATACTAATCACGCACAGCATTGCTGTTTGCCGCGAGGGAAGTACTTATGCCCCTTATTGTTATTCATTTTCAAAATGCAGTTTTAAATAATATTTAGGTTTTATTTTGATTTATGTTCTCTTGCAGGGCTTAAATAGCTAATTTTCAATATTAGTATCCCCTAAAGTACCTTTATTTTTTTTTATTTGAATCAATTGACCATTTCACACTAATCTACAATATAAAAACAGTTAAATATGAAACATGCAAGAATTTGATAATTAACTAAAGGATATATTAAAGATCGCAACGGAGAACAGTTGCAATTCAGGAACCAAAGGAATACGAGCGCATCTGAGCTCACCCGAAAGATTATAACACGCTTCCATACGTAACATGAGCTTAATATAAGTTCTGCGACAATATTATGTAAATATACATATGCGATTTTCATAAAGGCATAGTTAGTATTATTATTTTTTTTTGGTTTAATTTTTTTATTCACACCTGTCGTAGTGGTAATGGCAACCAGTGAATGTGAGGTCGTTGGAAAAAATAATGTCATGAAAGGCATTACATTGATCAGTGCCCAGCGGCACCTCACTCGGCGTAATATCTCCATTAGACGAGGAGGTCCCTCAACCAGCTCCTCTTCAGTCTCCTACAGATGTTACCTGGTATATTCGTAGTGGTCATGTCATTTATAAGTGTTTTAGGATATCCTTGTAAGTTGTCATGGAATCGTTTGTAATGAGTTCATATGTGTTCGTTAACAGTCGGCATATGGATGTCAGTATGTAAGGTTATGTTGCTAACGTATCAAGGTGTTTTTGTAATTATTCTGAATGTTTTTGCTTGAAAGATTTGAAGTTTGTTTAAGTGAGTATTTTTAGCAGTTCCAAATATCTGTGATCCGTAAGCCCAAACAGGTTTTAGTAAGTAATTGTATGTTTTCAATTTCTGTCTAAGTTTTAGTTTTGAATTTTTTGAAAGAAGTGAGCTCCGGATTCTTAACCTTTGATTTTTCGTTTCTTGATTATATGTGGGCTCCACGTTATTTTTCTGTCAAATGTCAGACCAAGGTAGTGAACGGTGTCTGTCTATGGAATCTGTGTATTGTCAAGGAAAACTGGAGGGCATGTTTCATGTCGAAGCGTGAATGTTTTTGTGTCTTGCTAAAATTTCTGTGTCGTCTGCATATGTCGCTATTAAAATGTTGGAACTGCAAGGTAGTTAATATTATTTAATATTTAATTGTATAGATTACAGCTATATAGATATTAAAATTTGTGTATATAATGCTAATTATACAGATAAAAGTATTAAGAATAGTATTTTTGTTTACTGAAAAAAAAATTATTTTTCTATTCTAATTCTAATTCTAAACCGCACATGTCATAAATTCGAAAATATGCAAATGTATTGCTGTAGTGAATTCGGAAAAAAATTAGGCATGGGAATGAACAGTACCCAGAAGCACCTCTTACAGGTTTATAATTGCTTCCTTAATTCAGGAATATTTTCTCATCCAGATCCTTTTAAGCCGCCTTCTGATAGGCATGTCGTTTATAAGTCTCTTAGTGTCCGTATTGTTAAATATGAAATCGGGACTAAAACGTACATATATTCTCGTCGATAGTTGGTTTTCTTAAGTAGGTATTTAAAGTTCTTGTATTCAAATCTAAAATGTTTCATTCATAATGCAGAGTTAAAGGGCCATTTGTATTTAAGTGAATTTGAACTATGAGATTTGAAACCAATAAAAATAATATATGTTACATGGTAATAATTTATTTTCATTTGAAATTGAAGTTACTGAACATTTTGAGAAGTTATTAGAAAAAAATATCTTGTATTGCATATAATTATATTGTATTATACTTAATGGCATTACTATATTGTGATGGGTCTTACTTGGAATCCTGTTGATGGCCCTGAGAGGCCTGAGGACTCTTATCGTCCGGATAGCAGAGAGGTTCATGTTCTCCATGTTCAAGCAGTACTCCAGGGCTCTGGAAAATTAACAATAGTAAGATAACAATAGTAAAATAACCATGTCAATAAAATAAATCTTTATTTAAGTATAATTTCATAAATAAACAATTATAATATTATAATGACCGTAAATATGAACAATATTAGATTAAAAAAAATAGGAAATATTGCATACTAGTCCTCTTATTAAGGAGAGATTATTGTAGAATACATTTTTTATTCTTATTTTAAATTAAAATCTATAAAAATACTAATAAGTTTGAGGAATGCTTTAAAAAGAATTAAGGTATGAATAAAATGAGAAATAGGTTGAAGATAGATCATGATCGGACCGTCACCACATTATTTGCAGTCCCTCGACGAGGGAAGGGAGCGAGTGAAAATTCCCGGGATAAGAAACTTCTTCGATAATCTCCTTTCCATTTGTCACTATCTGATATCAGCTTCCAGTTTTACTTCTCGATTTATCACTCAATCGTTTGTAAAGTTTTCTTTTAGATCAAATGTCTTTCATTATTTTTTGTTTCTGTTTATTAACTATATAATAAGCTGGATGTCTATTAAAATATTAAGGTGCTTAATATTGAGATGTCAAAAATAATAAATAAACACTTTTGTTTTGTTAATGAATAATGATTCGTTCACAGTTTAAGCTCATTCAGGAAGTAAAAAAAAACTCTTAAAACTTAATGAGATTGTTTTTTTCATTATAACATTAACTAAGTCTTTTCGATCCCTCGTCCTACCGAACAATAAATCTCCTCCCGATATGTTCTAAACGTTTCGAAAAATTAATATACAAACGATTGGTTGGCATACTAACGGAGCAAAATATGATAATTGACCATCAGTTCGGTTTTCGCCTGACATACCTATCAACTCCGAAACATTGGTCATCTGGTGATACAACAATTTTAACATAACACCATAACCCCCAGAAGACGCAAAAAAGACGCACTTACAAAAACTACAGTCATTTCAGTATAACATTTTACCACTTATAACAGGAGCTCCCTGGTACGTCAACAACACAACTTTATATAACGACTTACGACAATCAACTATTGACCAACACATACGCACTCTCTACTCACGTTTTCATCTCAAACTACACGGATACACACACAGCCTTATAAACGACATGGCCAAGACTGACATGCCTATCAGGAGGAGACTAAAAAGGAGCTGGATGAGAGATCTCCTCACCTAAATGAAGGAAGTAAATAATGACCAGGCAGAGGTGTTTCTGGGTGTTATCCTTCTGCATGTTTGTAATGTCGATCCTTTTTTATCATAACACATCTGCTTATTGCCAATTCCATGACAGGTGCGGATATATATTTGGATAGAAAAAAAAATTACATTGTAGTAGTTAAACATTTGTATTACAATTTTCTATTATTATTTTTTTCTTGAAGCTCTTGTAACTATTATTCAACAAATTCTCATTAATACAAATTTAATATTTAACATTAATAAAAATAATAATGAAAGTAATAATACAAACATCAATAAAATTATTAAAAGAAATCCAACCGTCAATTATTATTACTGTCAATGTTTTTTTATTTCTTTTGCATCTGTCAGCGAACTATAAAAAGTCGTAATATTCTGTATCTCAATATTTTTGTTTTACTTGAATATTTCGCAAGTGTATCATTTTGACTATACTGTAAGAGAAGAATGTCAATATGGGTTTGAATAACTGCATGGGTGCATTTATTTTCTGTCTTTTAATTGGTTCCAGTTTTCAACGTTAAGAAAAGACTTTGAACTCTTCAGTTTCATTTTAATACACGGACCCCATGTCATCCTTCTGTCGCAGATATGTCCAAAATAATGTATTGTAATCGTCTGAGCAATTTCGGTACTGTTGACGTAAGCTTGGTTAGGTATTTCTTTGAAAGATAAATGATATATTCTATATTCTTTGATTAATTACAATGATTTAATTATTTTTTTTCGTTATTGAGTTCTGCTTGAAATCTAGATGTTTCGTAATTAATATTGTCTGAGTAAGTCAAAGTCAAAATCTCATTGTTGTCATGTATGCCGTGAGTAAATAATATGCATAGTAGAGGAGTTAATATTGAACCTTGGTATGATCCATGAACCATCTTATTTTCGCAGGGGTACCTTTTGATATTTTAATAATTTAGTATATTTCCATATCGAAAGCCGATTATTGTGGAATAAAAGGAATTTAGTCGGCTGTTCTACAGATCATGGATGATTAAGTCAGGACGCAGTCATTTTAAGATTTTTATTGATTCGATGTTTCAACCCAAGCATCTGAGTCATCTCTTGGCCATGTTGCAAGCACTGAAGGTGTTCAAATACTTGATGGCCCCCATCATTATAAAAATCATCACAAAACAATAAAAATCATAACCTGACTATGTATTACCCACCACTCAACACCATAAAATCGAGTCAATAAAAATCTTAAAATGTCTGCGTCCTGACTTTATTATCCATGACAAAGCTCTGGATCTTAACAAAGATTGATCTGTAGAACAATCGACTTTTATTACTTTTATTACATTTAGAGGCACTTAATATATGTTTTTTTTTATTATGAATTTTGAAATACAAACATATTTAGATTACATAACACGTAACTTTATAAAATATATATTAATTAAAATAATAAAATTTATGTTTTGGACAGAGAAGGTCACTGGGTGAGGACCACAAAACGAATAGAAGAGGCAAAAAGCGTTGGTCCAGATGGGCACTATCTAGCGACCCATGTTCCATCTAGGCCTCAGTATCTAATGTCATTTAGTGCTGTTTTTTCTTCCTTTTTTTTTTTTTTTGTTGCGATCGAACGAAAAAATTTTTATATAACATATTTTTAACCCCATTCACTTTTTACATGAAAATCCTGAATTCCTTATTTGATTGTTTAAATAATAGTATTCATATCTCTTCCGTTTTCCCCACTCTTTACTTTTACTTTTTTGTTTTTTTAAACAATGCTTCAATGAAGTTAGTTAAAAAATAATATTAATTAAAATTTAAGAATTAATTAAAATTCAATTTTTTCCAACGTGAGCTCTAATCATCATTAGAAACATTTCAGGAAACGAAAAAAAAATTATATTCCAATAGTAATATAAAAATCAATGCTTTTTAAAAAAAAATAAATAAAAATTCTTTACTTATAGCAAATATTTCGATTTTTTACAAATATTTCAATAATAATTTAAAACAATATTAAAACTTAAATGAGGCCGCTTTTGGAACGAATTAAACTTCATAGTTTGACTTGCATTGATTCAACGGAGAGTAACAAATGGGTCGTGGTAATAGACTCAAAGAGTGTAATCCTGGCCATCGAAAAGAGAACACCGACAACCACACTGGCGAGATCTATTAAAAATATCTGGTGGAAATTAACAGAAAAGGGAAAGGAAATAATATTCATGTGGGTTCCTTCACACTGCGGAATTGTCGGAAATGAACAGGCAGACAAAGCAGCAAATATGGGGAGAAGGCTAGATAGAAATCCAACAGCTATAATTAAAGAAATCCCGATAGAAGATTGTATGCATCATATAAAAAAGAAATTGCGGGTAATGTGGCAGAACGCATGACAATAAAAAGAAACCAAATTAAAAGGAATAAAAAGCCACTGTTCCAAATGGAAAACTAGCAACCGACTCTCCAGAAAAGAAGAAGCAGTCCTCTGCCGCTTAAGAATTGGGCATTGTGAATTTTCACATGCCTACATACTAAGAGGACTAGAACCAACGACCTGCGAGAGCTGTAAGGTGGGAAGAACTGTCCAACACATCATCCAAGACTGCCCAGTATTTAAGAACGTAAGGAAAAATCTCGAATGGTTTAGAGCCTAAAAGAAAACCTCAGTGACAACGAAAACGCCGTTTAAAAAACCTTATAATTTGTAAAAATAATAAAGTTCTACAATAGAATATAAATAGGAAGTGTTGCCAATGAACCTGCAGGGTAGAGGCAACGATAAAAATAAATAAACTTCATTGTCCGTTTAGGAACATAATATGGTTGAATGGGGTTCAGTTTGAAGAGAGAAATGTTATTTAAATTTTACTATGAAGTTTTACTTTTTATTTATAATAATGATACAATAAAATGAACCTAATTTTAATTTTATTCGTATAAAATGTTTAAAAACTTTTTCTTTATATATTCGAAAAATGTATGTATGATGGCATTCCTTGAAACCAAGGAAAGCTTTAAAAAAATAACTGTATTAACATCACTTTTTTAAATTTTAGGCTCGTTTTAGAAAAAAAATAACAGCATCGAATTAATTGGATGTTTTTACATATCTTAATTTAAAAAAAAAATATTTTGGATTACTTTTAAAACAAACTACTCGGTTATTAAAGTAATTTAAAAATTGAGTGATATGAAATAGTGTTAAGAAAAAAAATCTTTTTCCTTTTTTATCCGAAAGAATCAGTTATTATGATACAGCACACACATCCCATTCCAGCATACTATTTTTTCGGCTGCTGCCTGCACTCTTACATTAGTCCAATACATTTACATATCATGTAAATAAAACCGAATGAAAGGAGGAGATTTTGGTACATAATTGAATAAATGATTAATTGAAATAAACAATGATAACGCTGCTTACGTTAAAATCGAACAAGGTTTATAATGGTTATGCCAGAAATGCCAGTTAATTATAATTAATAATAATTAATTAATTATAATTTTAAATAAATAGCCAGGTTTAACCATAATTTAGAATTATATTTCACTCTTCACCACAATGTCGCTGAGTTGCTATATATACAAATATATATTTTCATTTGAAGGGGACCTTGAACGGAAACAAAAGACGTAACGCAGACGAGGTGTTGTATTGAGGAAGAATAAAGGAAGGATATAGGAAGGAGAGGATAGGAGGGAAGGGTCATATATTCTGTCCCCTGCTCCCTGTTTGCGGACGAGGGGTCATGTAAGATCTCAACCTATTATCTGTCCGAATCGAACCGGCCGGTACTTTCCGCGCTGCTGCTCATCCTTTATCTTCCTGTCCTTCTTACTGTAGGGTTCCCCCTTAACACGTGACCATCCTCCATAAGGTCCATGTACTGTTAACATACTTTGCTTACATGGATTATCGGATATTGTATGTAATGACTGAGAAGCCTCATTTTAGATGGAATTATCAAACTATTCTAAAATATATTCACAGGATTCTATTGAAGAGTAATTATTACGTCTATAATATTTATTAAATTAATTTTTCTTGTTAATATTATTATTTCGGTGTGAAAGGGTCATTGTCGATGGTATATTATTATCTAAAAAAAAAACCATTCTTTTATTGACAATTAATATGTTACGTACATGGGAGCCGAAATGGCCGAGCGGATTATAAGTGCGCTTGCAATAGGCTATTAAAGTTACATCGAGAGTTGGAAGTAATTGGATGGACGACTGTCCGAATCCGAAGCATCCGTCGTGGAAATTACTTTGCCTTTGATTCTCGCCTCTTTGGGTATATGAAGTCGGACATTCATCTACTGAAAGGCAAGTAACACAGAGAAAGAGTGATAAATTGTAAATCGCGATGTGGTTTTCCGGTACGTAAGTAGGTGCCGTGAGGTTTATTCTCGATTTGTCACTGTCCTTGAAGCCATGTGAGTAAACTAAAACTTTAAAATTAACAATTAGGTCAATAACAGAGATCTCCGACTTAACCCTCCTTTCTTACTTTCTTACCCATACTAGGTAAGGAAGTATTGCGATCGGATCGAATTTCCAATATGTGGTTTTCAATTGATCTATACGTTTCAGAGCCCCCTGAGTCCCTACAAATTCCATACAAAACTATATAAAAATTGTTCATTTCGGAGAATTATTAACGAAGTTACAGTTGGTGTCAGAAAGGGTTGAATGAGAGAAAATATAACTTAGTGAAAGCAAGAGAATCTGTCGCATGCATCACACAAGCTTCCGTATTACCTCTACTTTTAACAGAAATTATCGTTTGACAAAATTAGACTATGGAAAAAAGGTTTTGATCAGTAATATTAGAGGGTATTGAAATGTATACACTGATCTACCTTAAGCCGGTTTACATTGCTACGATCAATTTTCAGGAAGATAAAACTAATTCAATTTTTTTGTTTTTTATAGAGATATGTAAAGATATAACAACTTTTATGAAATAGGTAGGAAAGTTGTGTGAGTGGACACACCCAATTTTTTCTTCTTCTTCTACCTTTTCTGCCTCATAATGTCTCTCAGCGTGGAGATTTTTTTTAATCTGAATCATTTTACTCAATTACGGGTGATTGGTCCGGTAAAGGACATAGCTGGCCTTCTGTTTCCCTGAAGAAAGAGTAGGAGTAAGGATAAGGAGATGGTAAAGTTTTAATAGATAAGCTACGAGAATGGGTCATGTTTTTTCTAGGATATAGGATTAAGGAAATAGCAACAACTCTCGTGGGCCGGGTCGCTAGGTCCCTGTAGTAGATTTGTTGCTCACTGAGCGCATGAAGAAGTATTTATCCTATCTCACCACATCTGTCATATGAGTTATAATAGAAACCTGTAATTGATTATACAAACAATTTTAAAACCAAAAAGAAAACTGACACTCGACTCCAATTAGCCACCTACCAGACAGTACCTTTTGGTACTTTCCCTCCCCATTCACCACTGGTTCCGCAATAAAAACCCTCCTCCCATTGGCCTAGACGAGATCAAACCACGAAGACGAGAGATCCTCCATGAGCCTTGAAATGAAATCTTTAGGACAAAGTAATTTCTACTTAAGTTTCACTATTCCTGCTAATATCCGCTGGAGACACTTTGAACAAATTGTCCTTCTCATTTCAACCTTTTCGCTAAGCTCTAAGCCCTTTAAACCTATATTGCCGTGCAGCCTTAAAGGTTAATAATCTTCGCTCATCTCTCCATACCACGCTTTCTCCCTCTAAGTCTAATTTCAGATCTTCTTTATGCCACAATGGCTTATTGCTACTAATCCATTGGGAATGGATATATCATGATGGTATTATAATCAGCGGTACTGATTAGAAAATGTACATTCTAATGAGTAGGACACTTAAGATTAAAAAGTGTTACCAGTAATTATATATAAAGTACTCAAAACTATATAAAATCAATCAAAGTGTTATGATATTTTAAAAAAAAATGTTTGAAAGTCTTTACCCCTAGTTATCCCGTTTAATCAAATCAAATACTTAAATGAATTTTAGTGTTACTAAATCCCTTAAAGCAACATTTATTTGATTATTTTTAATACCAGTATTGCAGGTGAGTGAGAGGCACTGGGATCTCCCAGTGTCCTGTCTTTCCTTCCGCGAGTGGGGGAAAGGCTTGGCTCTGAATTTCCCTGAATGAATGAATTTTGTAAATATTTTACAAAAATATGCTTGTGTTTGAATTGTTATTTTGATTAGTTTATTTTTTGTTTACATCCATTTAGTTTTATTTATATTATTTTCTGTTTACTTTATGTTATTTATACTCTATCTAGCTGTAATTTTGAGTCCACTGCCCGATCATCATTAACGACCGACGGACCACTGGATTTGGATTCATCTGCAAGGATCATATCCCGATTATAGGAACGTTTGAACCAAAGTGCTATAGTATTTCGCTGAATCATTGTCTTCCCTTTTGTGGCACGAATTTCTTCGGCGGCTGCCATTGAGCTAAGATCTTTTTTCCACTAATGTCTCGAAAGACTGCGAATCAAGATTTTTCTTATGACATGGCAAGTAAATTTTAAAAAACGTACTTACTGGACAAACGCTCTAACCTTCCAATCAATTATAAAAGACTGATTTACATGACTATAATAAGGCCTATTTGGACTTACGGGGTTGAGCTATGGGGCTCCACCAAGCCTTCAAATTCCTCTCGCAGGAATTTTGTCATACAGTCCTTGCAATCCAAAATCCTTCGTAAAATCCTCAATGCTCCTTACTTTGTTACAAATAAAATTATCTATAATGACCTTAATGTTCCTTATGTATCAGATTTGGCCCAATCCAGATATCTGTACTTCCATAATAAACTTCATAACCATCCCAACCCTCTTGTCTCTAACCTTGCTTCCTATTCGATTCCTGATAACCCTCCGAGGCGTCTGAAAAGAAGATGGCCACGTGATCTTCTAATATAGACATATTATTAGAGTGCTACCAATGGGTAGTTTCTCAACATGTGTTCCATGTCTTTATACCAATGTGCAAATTTACTAGATGTATTTTTTTGTATACAGTTGTAAATATCATTTAAAAAAAAAAAAAAAAAAAAAAAAACGTAAATGATCTAGTAGAATCAAGTTACAAGGAATAAAAGGATTAGTCGTGGAAAAATTTAGAAGCAACAAAAACATTGTAATAGGATTAATTATAAGATGATTCAAAGTTCATGTTCATTTACAAGTGCCTTTCGGAACAACCTAATATATTACATAGATTTCTTGTATTATATTTCATATAAGCTGTACAAACGACTTTTATACTAAGTTTCCACGACAGATGAGACAGTAAATTTCCACCAGAAATTAGAGAATTATACGAGTTACGAGTATATAGATCGGAGATGGAGGGCAGGGGAGGCGTAATCAATTAGAGATAAGTATCTCGTGTAAGTCGGTTGCAGAGACAGTTAGAGAAGTTACTCTTAGATAACTGCTGGATTTATTGGAGCTTGTATAAGTTGCTTCGAGTAGTGACTAACTGCTCTACAGCGAGATAGTGCTGGACACATTTTACAGCCTGTATCGGTTCGGTTATCTATGCCACCCACGCTCCTCCACCTATTGCCTTTGTATTCCCTTTTTTTTTTTATCTTGTTCTGAATTATCTGAATATGATAAAAGATTTTAAAATAGTAAATATCTGCATCTAGCAATACATAAATAAAAAATATGTTTACTGTTTATACAAACATGGAAAAAAATAAAAGTGGAACCATATCTCAAGAAATGAATTCAAGATGTTTGACATCGATATTTAAAAACAGAAAAGGAAAAAGTGTGAAAGTTGTAGAGACATCTGTGTCATAAGTCCAATTATAAAACAGCTAAAAAGAATAGGAAAAGCAATATAATCAAGGAGAGAAGCATTGTGAATTTACACCACAAAGGTTTTGTATCGATCACATTTTTTACTCTTAGACATCATTTATAAAAATGAACAAATACAGTGGAATGACTAGCCCTAATTTTAATAGATTTGGAAAAAGCATACGATACTGTACCTCGCAAACAGCTAAGGGAATTTTTCTGGAAAACAGGCATTGATAAAGGATTTCTGAGCCTAATTAAACAACGCTGCAAATTATTATACAATGGTTTATTATTTGCAAACAATTGCATATGAAGAGTAACATTACTGGCCTAATATATTTTTTCATCATTAGCAATGCAAAGAAAAATAGACAATATTTAAAGTTGATTTACTCAATAACAAAGGATATAAGTTTTGCAGTAGAATATATCACTACTGTTAGTGAAAATTTTGTTATTTACAAATTGAGTTTTTTTTTTTATAAAAGAACCTAAAATCGATTATTTTATTATGATTTATTAGTATAATTTCATATTTTATTTCCCTATACTATTTTCCATATTAGCAGACTATTTATTGCAGTTGCAGAGTACAAAATGTCACCTTTATTACAAATAGAACTGACAAAGAACATTATTAAATATGACATTTTGCACTAACAGTAGCGACATGGAAAGTATTTAGAACATAATAGATTTGCACCACATTGTCCGATTCCTCACCGCATTGACGATTTAGTTTTTAGAAAATATCGTCTACTTTTAGAAGACCAAACAACCACGAAAAATTTGTAATTGGTAATTGGTTGACTGTCGTGGATAATGAAGAGAAGAATAGTTGGGGTGCTCAGTCAAAAAATTCATTCTCACTTTGACATTTTAGGAGAAAGCCCTGATGATGGCCTGAACTTCAGGTCGAAACGTCGCAGATGTAAAAAATAAATATTATAATTTATTTTTGCCTTCCTTTTTTGACTGAAAAATTTGTAATTTTTGAGGTATTTGGAAATCTGTTTTTACGACCACTCGCAACTTTTTTTCCATC